GCTTATACAACACTGACAGGCACAGTTACTATGAGACAGTAGCTGTCATTCCTGCCACATGTTGTTGGAAATCATGTTTTGGCTCATCAGTGTAAATGAAAAGCATATTGTGAAATATATCTTTCATCTAAGTGTTCTTGAACATTTGGACTGGTAAATAACCATTTAATATTTTAAAAAATGAAATAAAAAAAAAAACAGTCATTATTCCAATTATTTAATATATAATACTAGCTTTGTTATTTGAAATAGTTAACATAATATTTTTTTAAATTTTGCAACTTTTTTGATTGAATATTTCAAAGAGTACTTTCACATCTTGAATAGGTTGAATCAATTTTCACTGTTTTATATTTTTGTAATAAATCCATTTTTATTGTCAGTAACTATTTTATCAAATAATGATACTTATGTTGAAAAAGATGAATTTAAACACCAAGCAATTGTTCCTTTTTTAAATGTCTTGTGGAACACATTTTTTCTAACTTCTGTAAACATACAACAATTGATTGATTGCACAATCAAGAAAGTTGAATTAACATTTCCTTAATAGTGTTGAAGATAGCTACAATCAATTTTCCAACACACTCATAATTTCTAGATAGATATGCAGACCATTTTAAAAAATTTTCATAACATAATTCTCTTGGTAAAAATAGCAGATACCTATATGATACTCCATTCTGTTGTATCTTTTTTCAACTATAGAAATCTATATATAATTAAACAATTTGTATTTCTTCCTTTGTAAAGCAGATCTAGTGAACTCAGGTTAATAAAAGTTACTAATAGCCTAGTAATTTATCTGGCTATTAACATATATTTTATATTTTCATTAAGTGAGAACAAAAATGTACTAATTTCTTCACTGATAATTAACTTGCTGTATTCAATGACTATCCAATTTCACTTTTAATGTAATTTTCCTAAGATAGTTCTTGGAATATTTGTGATCTACTTTCTAAATTTTTCAGATCTAATGTAGTTTGGGATCATTTAAATTGTACTAAATTTTTACTATTTGAATCACAGAACTGAATTTATTAAAAAATTAGATCTAAACTTAGTTTCTAACAAGAAATGTACTATAAACATGGGATAGAATGATGTATATCAATTATTTTTCATCAATTTAAAGTTTACAAAAGAGAAAAGACCATTTTTAATGCTGACAAAGTTTTTAGTAAAGGTCAATTTTATTTCTGGAAATGATTGAGGCTAGAGTAGGATCTGATGACAACTTTGTAAAAAATAACATGGATATAAAATAACCAAAATTTTTAATCAGTGAAGTTTCAAAGCACAAAATTTTTTATCTAAGGAAATTCATTTTTGTTAGTCATATAAAAAAAATATCTTTTTTGTAACAGGTGTATATGACCTGTTGTAAAAAAAGATTATTCTTTTTTAATTTTTTTTTTTTTTTTTACAAATTTACCAGAGCATATGAGAGGGTATAGAAATATTAAAATATTTTAAAACTGAGTAGAGATTAAAAAAAAAAAATAATAGAAAAAGAATTGATGTTTAGTTATTTGGAGAGATTTTAGGAAGGGAATTGGGTTGAGAACTTTTCAGCACCCCATTGTACATTCAGCATTAAATAAACATATCAAGATCCAAGTTAAACAAAATCTGAATAATTTAAAAAAAAAAAAAAAAAAAAAAAATCAATTTTAATCTACTTAAAAAGTTCAAGATGACTATAAAAGTTAACAATTCCAAAATAAGTAAAAATATAATCATGATTGAAGACAGCCTTTAACAATTTTATCCTTAACTTAATTTTTACAAATCAAAAGGGGATCAGTAATTACCAAAAATCAATAATAAACCTAAAAACTATTTTCAAATGCTAGTTTGCTGTTAATAACACATTGAAAGCATTATCTTGTTTTGTAAAAGAATTGCATTATTATCCAATGATAAATATTTCTAATGCTTCATGTTAAATTTATGCAATAAAATAAATGTTAAAATCCATCAAACTTCTTCAAAAGGGTCTCTTTAATTTCTAAACTTGTAATTTTAACTTATTAGCTCTAGTCTCAATTTACCTACTTTGAAATATATTTTACAGAAGTCTCAATATCTACATATGTAAATTTTCTAGATTGTTTTTTATATTAAACTTAAAATTAGCATGTAATAGTAACAGAAAAGTGTTTTTGTTTTTTGTGTGTGCTTAAAATTAATGTAAACACAAATTAGTACAATTATACAGGCAACACCTAGAATAAGCAAGGAAGCCTGTGAGAAACAGAATCAAATTAAACTCAATCCTGTGAAGAAATTTGTATAACAAGGAACGAGAGTTATCTTTCTTGAGATGTGTGTGTGTGTGTGTGTGTGTGTGTGTGTGTGTGTGTGTGAAGCAAAAACAAAACACATGCACTTATACATACATGCACACACACAAATTGAATTGTACCTATTTTACATCTCTAGATCAAAGTGTTCTGAACCCTTTGACCTTTGCCAAAAAGGTGAATTTTGCAAAATAGTTACAAAGTTTAAATATCTATATATCTCAGATGTTTTTTTTTTTTTACCTACAACAATGGCAAAATATTTACAAAACTTTGTAGTGGACTTTTGACTGTGGCCCGGGCTACAAGGGTTTTACAGAGTTGGGCCAAATTCAAAATGGCAGATTTGGATATCTGCCACTATATAAGGTCTGTGTGAGTTCTTGGAGAAAGAGGGATAAGCGGATTGTGTTATCTAATATGATATCTAAGGAGTATATAACTAATCTTAGCTTTCTGCAACGACTTCATTTTTTTCACATGCAATAGTTGTGGCAGGACAAATCACAGCAGCTTCACCACAACAATGCACCTGCTCACAATGTCCTGAGCATGAAGAACATCACCATAATGAAACAACCTCCCTATTCATCTCATCTTGCTTCATGTTACTTCTTTTCACCAAGATCAAGGGGGATCGTCAAGTGGACCCATTTTGACAGCATGGAGGCCCATAAAAACTGAACTGAGGGGGCATCTAAGAAGAATCCTTCCAGCAGTGCATAGAAGCATAGCAGACAAGGATGGAAAAGTGCATTAGATTTGAGGCAGATTACTTTGAAGGGGAAACCATGTAGTTTGTTGTTTGGAATTGTGACACCAGTTCTGTTACTTTTCAGATAGACATTGTATGCTAATATTTTTGTATCTCCCAATATGGTCAAGTTATATATCCTCAGAAAGCCTTTTGAGTGTTGATTAATGTTCACATTAGCGTAAAAACATAAAATAGTTGTTTTTATAGCATACTCATATTTGAGTAGATGCTCTGTTTATTAAATAGTATATTTATTTATTTTCATCTAAGAGTTCTTGAACATTTGGACTGGTAAATAAAAATAAATATAGTGATTAATAAATAAAGTGTCTACTCAGATATGAGTACCCACTAAAAACAATATTTAAAGTTATATATATATATATATATATATATATATATATAAGTTTTAGCTATGATAATGTGGAAGAGCAAATGCAAATACTTGCAAGAAAATCACATAAAAAATCCCAAAGTAAATAAATAATTTTCAAAGAAGATAAAAGTTAAATTTAGGCCCTAAGTCCTTATTTTTCTTTTAAAATTTCAAAGGAAAATAGTTACAAAACTTTTTGCATCATCCTACCCAAAATCTATATCAGTATATTGTAAGAAAAGAAAAACTTTTGAAGTCTTTGAATGTGAAGTTCAACAGTAGAGAAATTTTCTAAGTTGATCTTATTTGAATAATTTTTCTCCCGATGCAACTGACATGCTAAAGGTGAAGAGTTTAATATTTGCAAAGAATTTGATAGCTGATAAGAAATGTCTCTAAAATTTTGGCTCTATTCTATATGTTCAAGAATGAAGATAATAGCTAGTAAAAACACATTTTTCAGTCTATAATAGGAATAGCTTTGTATATGCCCTGTATCTTTGTATATGCAAAAAACAAATGCTTTTTACAACATTTATAAGTTTATTTTTTGTTAAGCTCTATGGATTTGTTCAAGGAAACCACCAAGAAAAAAATCTAATAAGGTATAGCTAGAATAAATACTTTGTACATGCATAAAAACAATTATTTTTGTAAACATTAGATGTAGTAATTTGCAAAATACTAATATGACCATTATAAAAGATATACATGATGGGATGTGATATAGCATTCATGACAAAACAAAGGAATAGTCAAGAAAAAAAATTCAATGTTCAAGACACCCAATGATAATTGTTTGAACAATTGTCATTCTCATACCACTAATAATGTTTTTATAGCATTTAAATGGTTAGATGTTGTCACATAAAACTTCATGTAGGAACTTTACAGTATATAATTTCAAAATAAAAATGTTATTTTTGACAAATAAACCAAGTAATATTTTTTAAAATTGAGAAAACTTAATAGACATTTCATTTTCTGAAACAGACACTACATAGGAAAAAAGAATTAGTGACATTTTTTTCTATTAAATGTTTAGCAGTGTAGAATACCTTACAATTAAATCAATAATTTAGAAATTTAAGTTCCAATTTAATAAAATGATACTTGTCCTTTGAAAACCTATTTGAAGATAAGAGAGGTGGGAAAAGGAAGTATGAATCAAGTGTTAAGGCATAATGTAGTTATGAAGAATGTTATATAAAGAATCAACAGCTTCTGTGTAACCTTTGTAAGCATGATCAAGTTCAGTGAATGCAGATTCACTAGTCATCTGAGCAATATACTGCTAATATAAGATTAAGAGCAGATTTGTGAGCAGGTGAGAGAGAGAGAGAGAGAGAGGATAATTCAGATAAAACCAAAAGAAGAAGGCTGACTGTGAGCTTAAATATGAGTTATGAAAAAGAAAAATAATTTGAGCAGTGAGCAACAAGGAGCAGACAATTTTAGGTTGTCCAAGCACAGGAATTGGGTAGATTGTTTTTGTTAAATGAGCAGTTGAAGGGATACAGGCTATAAGAGATGAATGATATAGAAGCTTAATATTTACACCTGATCTGCAGAGAGGAGAATTGTCCTGACAGGTCCGCCACTAGAATGCAACAGAGGAAACAATTGGTAACAGTCAGTCACATGTAAGTGGTGCTCATAAATTTAAGAGTTGGAAGATTTTTAATTAAAAATTGTTCAATTTTGCTTCCTAAGCAAGATAAGAATTGTAATTGTTGATTTGTAACGCTTTAGTATGCATTTTGTTATGGCATTGAAAATAATTCTTTTTTATGTGTGTAATGTAACTATTGCAATATGTACATCTTAAGGTAATATTAAGTCGAAAAGAAAATCTAAGATTTTGTGTATGTAATCACCCATTATGCACATGCAGGCAAATGACACAAAGTTATTCAGCAAATATAAATTATGAAATTACTGCTCAAGATTTATTTATTTTTTATAAATATCCATGTCAAGGCATTAAAGTATATATATATATATATATATATATAAAACAAAATGTGACATTTTACAACAATTGTTTATACATTAACTCTAGAAACTGAAGTAGTGGGCAAAACCTATAAATGTTTCTATATTCCCATCGATGATTGATACCAATTCAGAATCACTCTCCAACTTACTGGTGATGCTTAAAGTTTGTATTTTAGGTTTTTGCATTTATTTTGAAAAAAATATAAACTGAAAAATAATTAGCTCTTTTGTCAAAAGATTAATTACTTGGGATTATTATAAGGATAAAAATATCTTTGAAGCAAATTAGTTTGTCATGAAGTGTAAATCAGAGTTTCTAGGCTAAAAAAGAAAACCAACAAGTACTTCATTTTCTCAGGTAATATTCAGCGCATATCTAGAAAGAAAAATAGAAGAAATTATATATAAAAAAAATAGAGAACACAAAAAGCAAAAAAAGAGAAAAGTTAATATCAACAATTTAAATGTCATTTGTCAACCCAATATGTGAGAGATAATGAAACATTGACAAATCTTTAAAAGTTGATAGTAAAATTAAAATAAAAGAAAAAACAACATACCCAAATCTCTGCCTTTTAGGCCACCAATTTTGGATGGATGAGATGAATTTGTGCTAGAATTTGTTTTTGGCGTATCATAATCATCAATGTCGTCAATATCATCATCTTCATGTTCAGTTACTACAACAGAAACATCATTTAAATATAATTAAAAATAAAAATATTAAGAAAATGTTAAAATTTTATATACAATGACATTGTTGGTTAACAAATTTGAAATAAATAAAGAATTTAAAATATAAAGGTAGCAGTAGAAATCTTCTATTGTTCAAAAATCAAAATGATAGCTTAATATTTTTCAAAAAGCTTACTTTCAAAGCTTAATATTGTTCAAAATCAAAATGATAGTTTAATATTTTTCAATGCTAATATGAAAGAAATAAAATGTTTTTTGCTGTAATCAATGCTACTTACAATCATAGACCGTCCCTTCAGCAACAGCAGATGCACAACTATCAAAATAACTTTGCAAGGTGTCCACTTGACGGCATAATATATCCCGGAACGTTTCCATTTCAGCTAATTTCTCTCGTAGACCTCGACCACGCTTAAATTACAAAAATTTGGACAAAAAAATCTCTTGAAGTTAAAAATTTCAAATAATCAAAATATTGAGGTTAAAATTGCATTAAAAAAAAAAAAAAAAAAAATCAACTTTATTTCAAAATCATACTGTAGATATTGATATAATGAGAGTAATAAACAGAATGAAGAACATCTGTCAATTTTATGATGGACTTCAAAACCAATTCTATTCATTTTGTGTTATTTGCTTAAATAAATTTAATGCTTGATTGCAATAAGGGGTAACCTGTTTGTATCTAGCAAATAAAACAAAATCATGAATCTATTGTTTCCTTCCATTGCTTCTATTTTTACTGTCAGAGTCAAATCAACTAGACCTAAATTAATTGTATTCCATTATGACAATAGTGAAAAGCACAATATACAGTATTATTTTATTTATTGCAAAATAAATGAACAAAACAAAAACATTATCAATAGCTTAAAGAGAAATTACAAATAATTATCAAACTTTTTTTAACCCCAATTTAATCCATTTGGCCATCGTTGTCTAAAATAAAAAATTAAATCATGTTGAGAGCACTTTCTCTCTCAATAACTAAAGTTAGGCAATGCTGAGCCTGATCAGAGCTTAGTAAAGTACAGCAAATCTCTGTAGGCCATCTTAGTTTTGAGAATTCTTTTGGTGCTAGCTTCCCATAAGTGGCCTGTGCAGCTTGGATTTTGTCAATATGTCAGTTGCGGATGATGAAAGGAAGCTACAAAGTGATCCAGCTACCTGTTCAATCTGCTGACCATTTATGTGTATGTTAAAGGCTGGATTGCCATTATCTGGGACTGATTACACTAACATTTTGGTATGCAGACACAAAAAAGCCTTGCCAATTGTTATAGGTCCTCCACACAATCCAACAGTAAGGCCACATCATCAAGATTAGGAACTCTACAATCAGCCTCTTGTAACACAAATGGACAGGATTGAACAGTTCACCATTAAATCCTCACTGTAGATCAACTCTTGAGTTGTCAGAAGTGTATACAGCCAGATAGATCAAAAACAAAGTGGTGGTGAGTAAGCGGCCATGTTTGAGACATGTAATCAAGAACTCCTTTTATCATCTGACTACCATTCATATCATCATGGAAACTATGGATAAGAGAGATGAATCTAAGAGGTAGCCAAAGCACTCATGAACAGTCCACATGGTCTTCATTATGTTGGTATTGAATGCCTTCTCCAGATTATAGAATGAGGAACAGAAGCTTTTGTTTGCAACTTTTTTTTCCTGGAGTTGGAAAGCACAGATAATCATATCAATTGTTCTGCAGTTGTCATAGAAGCCATTTCAGGACTCTGGGAGCATCCCCTAAACAAGCATTTGGAGAAGTGTCCTATCTAGGATTTTTCCTGCAGTAAAGAGCAGGAAAATCCACCTATAGTTCCCACAGTTTACCACCCTTTTTAATGATGGTGACAATATTTGCATCTTTACACTCTTAAGAGACACAACTGGATTCTCAATTTGATAGGATAAATGTCATTATAAGTATCATAAGATCCATGATGGTGGTTGGGACACTGAGAGACATCATTTAGGGTATCAGTGACAGAATTTGATGGGCAGTTTAAGAGATGCTCTTTTCATATCTCTAAAACGTTGAGTGAGAGGGCATCAGTTAAGATGGTATTTTTAGCATCCTTCAGTGGGCCTGCTGCAGATCAAACAAGTTGTTTCATATAAGCTACTTGAGTCATGGACATCTGCATACACTTAGATTTCTGTGACTCTTTCATGTCACTATCTGTTCTGCAGCTCTGGTAGTGACTGGGCACATTGGAAAGACCCACCACCCAACTTTTTTCTCTGTTTAACTGTTACCATGCTGGAGGTGAAACTTGTCACCATAGAATTTTCTCCCATTGCAGCTGTAGGTGCATTCTGTTGCCTTGAGACACTTGCTATAAATAAACACTTGTCAACTGTTATTTCCAGTATTCTAAACTGGAAATCACCTACTACGCCTTTGGAAGGAGGCTAAACTTCCATTTTCTGATGCCATTTTGAATTCTTCCAGATTCTATGCAAAGTGTAACATCAATTAAACCCAAGTTAATTTATTCTTTATTTTTGTAAACAAAAATGGCCACATCAACATCTAATGAAGCCTTTATTCAGGAGTTTTTCTTTGATTCAGACTCCAATTATGATTTTGAAGGCTTTACTCAAGTAGATATTGATGGTGAAGTGGTCAAAGATGATAAGCACACAAGTGACGTGAAGGAAAGCGATGATGACCACTAGGGGCTACTATCATCCATGGCTGACTAATTTTATGGACTCTACTGGTGACTATGATGTACCTGATTGCCTTTTGAAGGTTACTTATTTTGTCTATTTATAAATGATGAAATAACTTTATTTGTCAGCAAGACAAATATGCTAGTCAGGTGAAAGAAAGAACAAACAATTGCTGGTGTCTTCTCATATGTAAACACAAGGAAGCATGTCACTTTTTTGACCAAATGAAAGCCTTCTTGCTTCGCAGAACTCTACAAAGAGTAATAAAAGTTAAAATATGTTAAATTGTCAAATGTATTTTTGTTAATATATATTTTGTGTTTCAATTTTTTGTTTTCAACATCAAAACATGCATGCAAAACGTAATGCATTACATCAAAATATTACTCAATCATTTTTTTTATTAGTAAACAAAAAATAAAATCTATATACACAATACAAAGAAAGTTATAACAATTTTAAAACAGTAGGTGTTCATATTTTTGTTCCCTCAAAAAAAAAAAAAAAAAAAAAAAAAATGCAGTGGCAGGGAGAACAATTCTGGAAAGAATTTAGCTAAAGGTTAAAGGAGTCTGGCTGAATCTCCTAGTCAAGTTTTGCTTTATGTTCAGTCTCAATGTCTTTGGACATTGCAGAGTCATTTAACCATTCCTTATGAACTCTGGTTTGGTATCTCAGTGTTTTCTAAACAGCTGAAGTAATAAGGTTTCAAATTACTGCCACTTTGTAATAATAACCTTATCTGGTGGTGTTTCAACCAGCTTCATTAGGCCAGTTTCTTGATATGGAGCAATTACAGTTGAGTCATTTTCTGGATACTGAACATTCTCTGTGGTTTGATGATGTAACTGGGCAGCCTGGAACAGAGTGAGAGCTGTACCTTTGAGAGAAGTCCATAGTCCAGCAATTGTCCACTTTAGGCATGGTACATGTGATTAGAACTTCTGCTAGATGAACTGAGTGAGTGATAATATAGTTTATAGAGTGCCAGTTCTTTGATATGGAGTGCATCCACATAATGTTTCTTGCAGAGACAAAAAAATATCTTCATAATTGTCAGGCACAAGTCATCAGAAAGTGACTTTTATTACTGCAGCGGCTAGCACCTTTTCCTAGCACTGTAATTTCAATATTAAAGCATTTAGTTCCATTGCCACCAGGGCAGTTCTATAATAGGGTCATCCATTATTATAGACATCCTGGAGGTCCTAATGTTCCAGGTAATAACAGTGAAGATTTGTTTTCTTATTCTTGTGTGTAACCACTGGTTGCAGTACACCAGCCAACCTTCCCAGTTAGCATTGCCTGGGATGGGGAAGCAGGGATTCTAAACAGGACTGGGCTGACTATCACACTATGTACCACCATTATAGGCATTGGAGTTAGAGGCTCCAGCTAATCAAGCTTGCCTCCCTGACAAGGTTATTGCTGATGAACTTGTTGAAGTGGGGATTGCAGGCTACATTTGTTTAAGGTAGTTCATAGTTTGCCACACCGTGACACATACTTTGTGCCTGACAGTTCCTTGCAGCTTGTCTAGGTAGAAAAGACAAGTTCAAGGACAGGGATTGCAATGAGCTGTTGGTGAGTTCAGGTTTGTGTGCCACCTTGTAAGCAGCCTACCTAACCTTTAACTAACCAAGTAAAGGTATATATTCACAAAGATTATATAATAAATATATTAGCACAGTATCCATAAGATATCACAAGGTTATGTATGCAGTGGCAATTCTGTCCAAAATCAGAGAGAAGTATCTGAACACTGAAAAAAATTACACACACATACTGTATAGGGATACACACTGCATTTTATATATGTGGATTATGAAGAAATATGTGCTCTAATCAAAATGTTTAACTGAAAAAAAAAAAAAAAAAATTATTAAAATCAAGTTTAATTCAAGTGATATAAAAATTTTCTTTTAAATCATTTCACTCCAAGGAAGGTGGTAATGCCAGTAAGCTCAAGGGGTTATTGTGAGTGAAAGAGAAGGAGAAAACTTTAGAAGGATTGAATTGGACTTTTGCATATCAATCTTGTAGGTCATTTCATGCCAAATAAGGTGTTTTGTGTAACACTCATTGAAGGATGGGTTATACAAAGTTTTTAGTAGAATACTGACATTTTGAAGTATAGTGTAGTTTTAGTAGAACTTTACCTTTTTATATTTGGGTATTTTGGGGCTATATAGTTGTATTTTGGGCTTTCTTCAATAGGTGTGGTCTATTTCTTTTAGATAGCATATATTATTTGAGAAGTAGGTCCATTTTTGAAAAGCACAGTAAGGTTTTGTACATCGTAGTATTTGTTGTGTGTTTCTTGTATTCTTTGCAGTCTATTAGGATGTGCTTAACAGTGAGCAACTGATAACAGGAGATGCCCTGAGGCACAGTTTCTGCTTTGAATAAGTATCCGTGTGTAAGATGTGGATGTCCAATTCAAACTCTGCTTAGCAATATGCTGTCTTCAATCAGGTAATTTTCCAGTTTCCCTGTTAACTGATGTTCATACAGTTTGTGGTTTCCAAATATATCCAAAGTTATTTGCCATTTTAATGTATTGCATGATCTTTCTGTAATCTGTATATGGGAGTTTAATGTTTTATTGTCATCTTGGTTGCTTCCTTTGCTAGTGCATCAGCTTTTTGATTTCCATTAATGCCTACATGGCTAAGAAGCTAGGCCAAGATTATTATTTTGTAAGTTTTTATCAAATAGTAAC